CAGTAGTTATCTTTTTGGACTGAAATCCAATGTTTTCCTGATGTCATTATCATTGAAACATTACAGGACAAAGCACTTCTAAATCATTCTGACAAACACTCGGCTCAGAATATGATAATTAGCAATACATTTTCAGACATCAATCTAGATTGAAGATTCCTTTAGCCTGAAAAAGGATGCGATTCTTGTATGGGAGTGCACATTTTCCTTCGCTCCAAATAGGATCTGTAATACTCCAAATGTTTTCATTGAGTGTTTTGGTAGGCTAATAAATGTGGGACCTGTATGTTGACCTTTCCACCCTATTTAGACTACGAGAAATCAAACAGGCAACGAGAAATGTGTTTATAATGGAAGGTGCCACCTGTATACAACGGGCTGTTAAAGGAGAACTGTGACAGCAGCCATTATTATTCATTGTAGAGTCGTGAATTAACAACTTTCACATCCCAAGAGGGGCCGCTCTGTTTTTAATAGCCTGCAAAACTCAATTAAGTTTTCTGCTAGAGGAAGTTTTTTAGATTTGATTCATGCATCACGCCATTGGAATGGTCGCTTTCTTCCAGTGTTATATTCTTCATTTAGAAAAATTCTTCCTCCGGCTACAATATTAATTACATTCTTAGCTGGGCTCTGTGTAAAGGTTGCAGCAAAACAGCTGCTTCAATTTCTTCATGTGTGTCATTATTTAATTTATATATATGCATGACATTTGCCTTATCCTTTTCTTTTTATTGTAGGTTTTATAATTCCCCATTATGACTTTTTTTAATACTATTATTAGCCATTGGTAGCTGTTGCAGAGTTAATTTCAGGTAATATGTAAGGATTCGTTATAGCGAATTGTGTGTTCTTTTACCATTATTATTGGTCATTATTTTTATATACTCCGTGATCTAAGCAGAGCGTTGATTATTGTGTCCTATACTGGACAGTATATGAGTTCTGGGCAAAGTTCTTCTGCAATATTTTGTATATTGCAGTTCCAGACAAAAGAATTGTTAACTTTAACAAGTAATATTACTCCTTAAACTATATTAATCAATTTTATCTTTGCGAAGTTTATGCAACATGGGTTTATCCTTGTGAGCAGTACGTAAGAAGGCCATACTGTAGGTTCAGGCAAGATGGGGATTCTTGTCTGGAAGACATCCCCCCAGAGAGCAGTGGGGAATGACCAGCTGTCCTCAGACACCCTCGGTCAAGTCAGATGGCGTTTGAAAACCCAGAAGCAGAAGTGTTCGGGGGTCCGTTGACCTCTGCTGTCCAGAAGGAGGGCAGGGCTTCTGCGGATGCACTGCGTCAGAGGAAAAGGGAGAAAACAAGGGAAATCCTTCCGGCTTTTGTAGCTGGTTAGCAATTTTGTTGCCTGGCTGTTCATAGAACAGGGACACCATGAGAAGCAAAGTCAGAAGGGCATAGGGGAACACGGCTGTATTCATGGCCTCTGGCTGAGCTCAGAATTGAAAAGAACCCAGTAACTGAGTTGCCTCTGGAAAAACGAGGAAAAAAAAAGGAAATTCAGGGCAACGAGAGGTCCAACTTGTCCCTCATACTGTGATTCTGGTGATTGTGTAAAGTAAGGTAACTGACTGTGAGTAAAGTGGACATCTTGACTTACGGGTATGTTACCATTTCCATGGTAAATAACGTGTGGAGTCTGATACTGCAGATCGTAATTCTCTGGAATGCTATGTTGATAAAACAACAAACTTCTGATTTATGGTTTGGTTTTTCTAGTCCCTGAATAAATTCAATTTTCCCCGTCCAAAGACTTTGAAAATATATTTTTAGGAAAACTGCAACATTATCTGCTAAAAATCTAGAAGTTAGGTCATAGAGTATTTTAATTGACTATCAGTAACCGCACTGAGAGACTAGACCATGGTCCTATACTGCTCTCTGTTGTTCACTTTACTTGTTGCAGGCCAGTCAAGACTATTGAGCTTAAGCTTCAGCTGTGGACTATGAGGACATCGCCTGAATGCTCTGTAAAGTGTATTTTGTTATAAGAAATAATCTAGGCATACATTTTCAAATAATTAGGTGCTAAATTTTATCAGAGAGTAGGTGTAGAACAAATGACAATATTTTTTCAGTAGACAAAGAAACTGTCCTAGAAAATCCAGCCCTCACAAACTTGAAACATTGAAAGGTATTCTGATAATAAGCCATTACTAGACAAGGACAGGATTGGAGGACGGGCCTGAGGAGCAATAAATTAACTTTAGTGGATTATAATCCTCAGAAACCCTTGAGGGAATTGGATTGAATAAGAACCTTCAAATTGGGGTGCTACACTCTCCCCTTTTACTACCTGTAGGCTGATAAATTCAAATGTGCTGGATTGCAGTGCACTGAATTAAATGGGACTCCCTAACTAGTTCAATTACAAAAAAAAGCTATAGAACAACATTACTGATTGTACTGATCTGTTTAACATGATTTGTCTTCAATATCGTTTTGCTTTGTAATACACTATATGTAAGGTGGACAGAAACTAAGATGTCCTACAAAGCCAGATGGAATTGTTATGTGAGTGTCATGTTAGAAACAGTATAAAATGACTCATTCAAATATTTAACGGCTGTGACAGTTGTACAGTAGCTGAAATTGCATTTCTTAATTTGTTTGTTTTATTGTTACGCTGTTGTACTCTTAGCAACCGTGGCCTCCTTCATTTGCCAAGCGCGACCTTTGACACTAGTGTACCAATGTCCTGTATTCAGCTTTTTCTTATACTTGCTGAGGTAATTTACCCATAACAATCTTTTCCTCTATTCATAGATCATAATAAGAGAAGACGTCCGGATGAAATTTAGAAATTATTACCCTTGTGTAACATTTATACAAGGTTAGTATTCGAGAAGAGTCAGTAACTGACGTTGGGTCTAATGTTGATGAAGAATGGCGTAGAAAATGATAGAGTATAAAGTCTAATAATAATTGAAGAATGTAAATCATGGGGGAAGCTTGGGGTATATCTCATTTTTGAATGTTGTGCTCAGTTTTGGCCTCCATGATGCAAAAGTGATATTGTGTTTTTTTTGAAGGAGAGCAATCAGTCAAATTCCTAGTCTGAATGAAACATCAGATGTAGAGTCTTTTTTAGAGTACTTTTTGACTGTACTTTTTTTTCACTACATTTTTAAAAACAAAATGCAATTTACGATGTGAGTCTATTGTGAATACAATATTGCACAAGAATTCTATCTCCTGAAGACTGTAATGGATCATATGCCATATAGTAAAAATAAAAACAATATTGTGAAATATATACAGTATATATGAATTTACTGAAGCCTGTTATGTCAGATCTGTAACTGCATATTGAAAGCAATTAGCTTGTGTATATGTATGGCATGACATTTTATACACAATAGATATTCCGGTTGTTAAAAACTCCTTATATTTGCAATTTAACAAGAATAACCTTTTAAGCTATATATGATGCTATACTGTATATTTAATTTCTTATATAGTGTATGTGTCTACAACATTATGTTTACTGGACAAGGTTCTTACACTGCAGACTTTTTACATGAAATCCGTATCTTTTTTTGCATGCTATTAATGCATGCCATTGCCATGACTTCATAATGAATTTATTGTCATTCATTGCAAATGTCAAACGATATGTCATTTTTGCATTGATTTTTCTTTATTTGACTTGAGGAAATGCGTCCAAAAAAATTAATATTGACAGCAGGTTCTGTGATCTGCAGCAATTAGCATCAGACCGGAAAGTGTGTATTGCTTTGTGATGCAGCTTAATGAGAATATATACATAAAAACTCAATTCTTTTAGCCTGGAAACCAATAGCAAATAACAATAATGACATAGCCAAATATGCTTTGCCATAAAAGTATATTTCTGACAGCTGGAAAGTATTTTATGATTAAAGCTGTCTTGTTTTATTTATATTTTATTTGGGGGGGGGCTCAACATTGTATTTAAGGCACTACCCTCACCAACTCACCCTGTACAGTACTTTAAATAGTCTGCTTGAGCGCTAAGGACTTAAAGACGGTGAGTAGCCTCATTTGTTTTTCAGACTATTACTACTTTGACTGAGTAGAGCAAGAGATTCATCAACTAAATTTAATGTAACTGTATCAATGTTCCACTAGATGAGCTACAATGATTTTCTGACCTATGTGGATCTTACAATTGATTTTTGGACTTAGTTATAGTTAATTATAAGCTTCAGATCAGTCTGGATTTTAGAGCACCAGTAATGACAACTGTACATGCAGTGGGTGCATAACTTATTATATCTGATTGCTAAAGGTGTCTGGACCATGACTGTTTTATGACTTGAGTGGACCTGAGGCCACTTTTATTATGAATCAGACTCCTACATGTAATATTTTTATATGTTTTATACTTTGCAGGAAGACATCATGGCATTTCTAATTAGCTTTGTGCAGGTACTTGTACTGGCAACAGTTCTCTTCCAAGAAATGACATCACTTCCAGTTCCTGAGAGGTAAAACTGCCTGAATCTCATGCTTTTAGCTAAAACTTCATTTAGTTCTGTGAAACTATGAGAACTCTGAGATAAAGAATTTTCTTTGGAATATAGAAATTGGGTTTCAAACCCTTAGTCTTTAGCAGCCGTCATAGACGCTTATGCCTGTCTTTGGTTTTACAGTATCTTAATTCATTAGTTCACAATATTTCTGTTCTTCAGGTATTTTAGCTTATATAAATATTTTATAATTACATCATATTTTTTTAAGGGGCATAAACAGGAAATATATTGTGTGAGTTCGTTTACATGTAAAACCAGTAATATAAATACTTTTACGTAAACTGCCTTTTGGGAGCCAAGGTAAGTAAGTGCAGAACTGGAGTTTACATACTGACTCTAAGGGAAGTGCTCTTCTCATTAATGATGAGTTATGTTAATCATGTTAATAATGTATCAAAGAACACTCATGAGTAATTGAAAGATATAGCAGCATGGAGCCTTCCAGAAGCATAGGGAACAAAGCAGGACTACACTCTGGCTAGGATGCTGGTCAGTCACCGGGCACATTCAGACACACAATTAAACCAGATAGCATGGCTTTGGTGGAAGCACACCCAACACAAATCCATGCACCCATATCAGAACTGAATCCAAGACCAGCGCTATTGCAACCACAATGCAACCTCTTTCTGATCATCATCTTGATTTTTTTAGCAGATTCCTCACTAG